TTCAACCATGCACAATGAAGGTTATTCATTTTAAATATTAGGCAAGGATGCAAGTTAACAGAATGCTATCACAGGCAGAAAACTACAAATAAACAATAATTTCCTTATCTGCTCTTATATGAAGGTTGGATGAAGTGCTTTAAAGTGAGAAGCTGTAAGGGCCTGTGCTGTTCAACATCTTTATCAGTGACTTGGAGGTGGGCGTGGAAAGCACGCCATTCAAATTCGCTGATGACACAAAGATGTGGGCAGAAGTGGGCACGCTAGAGGGGAGGGACAGAATCCAACTAGATCTAGACAGGTTACAGAGGTGGGCAGATGAGAATAGGATGGGATTCAATACAGACAAGTGCAAGGTGCTGCATCTAGGGAGAAGGAACCTGCAACACACCTATAGGCTGGGGAACACCCTTCTCATCAACACAGTGGCTGAAAGGGATCTTAGAGTCATTGTTGACTCCAGGATGGACATGAGCTACCAATGCGAGGAAGTGGTCAGTAAGGCTAACTGCACCTTGTCGTGCATCTACAGATGCATCTCAGGCAGGTCCAAGGAGGTGATCCTTCCCCTCTATGCAGCATTGGTCAGGCCGCAGTTGGAGTACTGAGTCCAGTTCTGGGCACTGCACTTCAAGAGGGATGTGGCTAACCTTGAGAGGGTCCAGAGGAGGGCCACCTGTATGGTCAGAAGGCAGCAGGCCAGGCCCTACGAAGACAGAATAAAGGGCCTGAATCTATTCAGCCTCCACAAGAGAAGACTGAGAGGGGATCTGGTGGCCATCTATAAACTCACCAGGGGGGACCAGCAGAAAATAGGTGAGGCTCTGTTCCCCTGGGTACCGCTCGGGATAACAAGGAATAACGGCCACAAATTGATTGAGAGTAGGTTCAGGCTTGATATCAGGAGAAAGTTCAGGCTTGATAACTTTACGGTTAGGGCTGCCAGGCTCTGGAATGGGCTCCCAAGGGAGGTGGTACTCTCCCCTACCTTGGGGGTCTTCAAGAGGAGGTTGGATAGATATCTGGATGGGGTATTATGACCAGGGCAGGGGGTCGGACTTGATCTGTTCAGGTCCCTTCTGACCCTAGAAACAATGAAATTATGAAACTAAGGTATAAGAATCTTCATAGGGGAAAACTATATTCCTACAGAAGTACTCAGGAGACCAAGGAAGGTTTGGGGAGCCTGTCCCACCCAAACCAAGTACTTGAGAATAAGATCAAATAAATTTTAGCAGCAGTTTCAATATTGAAATACAAATGGTATATGAATGACAAGACAATACAGATTAGGCTTTTCAAACCAAATATTTAAATGCTCATCAATAATATATTTTTTAATATTTGAATAGAAAGATTAATCCTAAATTTAAAAGCCTCTAATAGGTGGCTCTAATAGGGAAAAGGGCTTGTTACCCAGGCTTAAAAACTAAGGGCCTTCTTAGGGCCTTGTTACACAGCAATTTTGGGAGGCTTCCGGAGCTCTTTATCCCTGAATTGTCCACACATTTTAACACCTTAAAGGGATTTAAAGTGCAGCTCATAGTTACTCCACCCAGAGCAGGATTATCTCTGATCTGCACTGTCCAGCTCTTGTTCCATTAAGGTGTGGCCTGTTGCTGCAGATGTGCTGCCCAGATTGAAGTCCTCTAATATCCCAGGAGCTCTCACACCCCCACCCATCGAGTAGGGATGGAAGCCTGTCCTGGCTCACCAGCCTTGTAGTGGCAACTCATAGCTACAGCTCCTAGTCCTGCCCCTGCTCACCAGGTTTCTAGTGGCAAGTCATAGCTGTGCAAGCAGGGGACAGTCAGAGAAGGTTTCTAGACTAGGAGTGTGACTGCTCCAAACTCCAAGCTAGCATTGATACCAATCAACATTTGTGCGGCTTGCAGAGTGAGGTGTAACAAAGTCCTAAGTTTCAAAGAAGCACTTATGTCGGTTCATCTGCATATGGGCCATTCAGCAGGGACCACAGCTCAAACCTAAAGAGCAAAGATTTTGAAGTATCTGGATTTGTATACCTGATTACCTGGCTCAACTTCAAAAGCTTGCTATTAAGGCTAGATTATATAGAAATGTACCAAATATTTTATTTCGTTATTAATACCAATATGAAATCTGTCTAATATGGTTATTAAGTGTATCTGGCTGCTTGTCAAGCAGACATACCTATTTTTAACTCCGTGTATAAATGGTGTCTGCCTTAAACCAGAGTGAGCTGGTGTATACCTACTAAATGATTTTAAGTGACCCTGAACTGACACCTCTTAACCTGTCTTTCTTTTGCCTTCTGAACTCTTCTTGCCAATAACATTTTCTCATCTGCTCATTTCCTTTGCCTCTTTGTATCCTACCCAAATTCTAGTCAAGCAGATATAAGCAGTTGCTATAAGATATCACTATTAAACAGCTCAGGGCCTACTGCAGTCTACAAAATACAAGTCCTACATGGTTCTTTCATCTACCGGAGAAAGGCACAGCAAGAACCAGTGACTGGAAACTGAAGCCAAGACTACTTCAAGGAAAAAAATAAGGCAACATTTTTTCACTGCGAGGATGATAACAACTAGAATAGGGGCCAGGGCCGTTGTGGATCATCTGTCTCTGGTGGCTGTAGATGAAGACAAGTTGCCCTTCTGGAAGAGGCACTTGGATCAAAAGCATCTTATTGGTTTTGTACAAGTGTCACTGGGTGAAACATCATGGCCTGTGTTGCCCAGGTGTCTAATGGTCTGTTCTCATTCAACATTTTCCATTATATAAACATTTTAAGATTTTTTTTAAAATCAAAAGCCCCTGTCATGGCAAATGCTGAATGATTTTTGCATTTCATTCACTTTTGAGTTTCAGGCTCAGATTCACAAGTCAGTGGTGAAACAGATTTTTAAAGTCTGGGTTGTAGAAACCAAACAAGCAGTGTTTGCATTGGATCGCATTGGACTTTCACTAGTCATGGAGACAGTCCATCAGTCTTAGGGGTCAGAGAACCTGAAGATGAGGTCTGACCTTCTCGGTGCAATGTGTTCATTTGCAGAGGACTCTGTGATACTCAGACAGCTGAAGTTGTCAGGTTTGTCCAAATACTACATGCAAGTCTTTTGTGTGGAGGTGAATGTGGCCCAGTGTCTCTAGCTACAAACTGATGATTGAAATGCAGATATTTTCTGCTGTGCTGACAAAATGAAGTCTGGTTTGCATTTCTTTGAGTTGCAGCTAGCTGAATTCTGATCTGTAATCCAGCTCTGCTATATACACACACTCAACTGTTGCTTTACTTTCCTCATTCTCAGTTTAGACCAAACATCAGACACCTGGTGACACCTCAAACTGTGGTAAAAAGATCTGCCTCTGCTCTAGTCCTTTTCTGTCCCGGTCATGAAGTTGCCAAGATGACCAGCATCTCTGAAGAGATGGTCCACTGAAGCTGTCCTTCATATGACAGCATTGAAGAAAAAGGTAACATAACCACAGGCTGCTCGCAAACAAACAAACAGGATCATGCAGCTGCTCTCGCATGGACTCCAAGGAAAACAGTGCTCCGCTTGAAACACTGTCGCTATTTTCATTTGTGCCGTAGCAGATGCGAATGCTATTTTGCAGAACACAGCATGACCTATTCTTACGCCTGAAAACAGAATAAAACAACCGCTGCCACAAAAAGCCAGTAGTAAATGTGAAGTATCTCATTTAAATGCTTAATTAAGTTAGAGCCCTAATACTGAAATTCTTCTATACAGAGTCTGGTCCAAAAACTGCCTGACACTTTGTAGTTCAAACTCACAAGTATACACTCCTCTTCCATGTTGATTTAAAGATTGAGAAGGATTAGGCTTTCCTAACATGAAGCAAAGATAAGTTCCACAACTAGAAGCACTTAAAACTCGAGTCCCACAACCCCCAGCCTGCTCTGCCCCCAGGTTATATTTAGGAGAAGTCAATGTAGAGGCCAAACCTGACTGCACAAAACCATTGTGGTCATAAAAGAAAAAGCAAGTCGGAACCATGCTGTAGTTAGATAGTATTATTGCTTATGATCCTACAATTGAGGAAAACAACAAGCAGCTCGAGCAAAGGGCTTGTGCCAGAATTTGAAATCTTTCTTCATCACCATGTGACAGCAGGCATGCAATGTGATGCCTTAGGATATACGCTATGGCTAACAGAGACAAAGATGCCTGTCTCTCAGGGTCTTGGGAGACTTAAATTCAAAGTTTATAGAGCACCTTGACACCTGCAGGAAAAAGAACCTTATATAAATTCCAGTTTGTCTCCAGTTAGAAACACACCTGTCTGTCTAGTCATCATATTAAAACCACACATTCACACACAAATACTGACAGCAAACTACATCACTAATCTAAATCCATTGGCCTCAGCCAACAAGGAGGCTGTGATGAAAATAGCTAGGATAAACCAGAGCCGGTCCCTACAATCCCACTCTTAAAGATCCCAACCAAGTAGACTGGTTTTGTAACATAGGTTTGAGGGCAAGCTGGTCAGGTCATTTCAAACCCACCAAGCTTAGCACTCAAGAAGGACCATTGCCCATAGCTACCCATGAAAATGAAATGGCTCCTGCATTTCTGTCTTTCCCTGTCTCATTCCCTGGTATGATAGCCCAGGGAAAGAGGGGGTCTCGTAAGCAAGCTCTTCCCAAGTCTTATAGAACGTTATATAAATGCAAAGTATTATTATTACCTGCGCTTCTGGTGTGGAGCTAAATTAGCGTTTGCAAGGAGCACAGCTCTTCCTCTGAATGAGCTCAAAGTATTAGTAATGGTGTTAGCAATGTTGTTGAGATTTTGCTGGCAATCAGGTGAGAGATTTCAGAACTGGAGGAATGAGATCAAATAATTAGACCTTTGTCAGCAGCCTTCGCATCCTAGTAAATATATCTTTAACCTCTTAAATGCTGGCAACTTTTAGAGAATAAACGTCATCTATTTACAGAGCTGTGTGGGCAGAGAAAGGCTTATCCAAACCGCATTCATACCTACCTAATATTTTTCTGACACTGCTTTGACTGCAGCTGGTAATTTATGGTTGCTCCTGCTGGTCAGAGGTAAAGCTGGAAGCAGAAAGGGGCCAATATCAGAACATGCACATTAGAGCAGTTGGTGGAGGGAAAAGGGAGAGAAACCTAGTATTTTAAAAACTAATATTTCCTTCCTGATATTTAGTTGACTAAAAATCTTTTTCTCTCCTCCCCCCAAATTAAATGTTCCAAACTATTATAGTCAGTCTTGGAGAAAGATTGTTAAATTCAATACGCCACTGGAGAAAGTAAAAAGCTACCACAGGATTTAAAATGCACCAGGAGAGCAGGTTAGCTGACAGAATAAAGTGTGTCTGAAGCAAGAACAAATTAAGTTAGGAGTGATTTCTTATCTTTCCTGCATTTAGGCATTATATATATGTGTATATAGTCACTGTGACTGTAGCAGATCAGTGAAACTCCAGCAGAGGGCACTCCTAGCTAAATTTGGGAGTAGCTGTATGTGAGGAGTAAGACACTAATGGAATGACAATGTTGACCCAGCTCACCAAGTCTCAGCTCCATGGGAAGGATGGGAGGAAAAGGCACTACATTGCTGGAGGACATTTTTGTACTTGGATACAGTAACATGATATAAGAAGGAAGAACAATAAACGCCCACGCTCAGTGTCAAGAGTTTGTGAAGCTGATTGCAAGGTGTTGCCAAGTAAAGCCTTAGGTACTAAACAAATGTTTCTTGATTGTCTGCATCCTTGCAAGGGATCACATCTCTGTTGTCTGTGAATTTGTGTATACTATGTCTGTATAAATGAATTTTCATTTCCACATAGGAGAAATGTGACAATCTTTGCATTTTTCCTGTGCCTGAGGAAGGGTGTGTGCGCCTGAAAGCTTGCAACTAAATAACTTTTTTTTTTTTACAAATACCTAGTTGGTCTAATAAAAGATATCATGTCTGCCATGAGTTCTGTTTCCTTTTGTGCAAGCACACACACATATAATGCACAGACACCCATAGGCCTATTATTGTAGCTACCCATCTGAGGGATGGGCAGACTGGGAATTAAAGAATTATGCAGCTCAGGTATATCACTGAATTTACAGAAATTTTCAAAAGCAACAGAATTGGGTTGTTATATTTGGGCTAGGTGGCTTATGCTCAATGTTGACTTGTGCTTGTGAGTCTGAAAGTGGGCACAAGCCCTAACTTTATTATGGAAAAAGAGCAAATAAAGGAAATCCCCATTGTCAAAATTATATAAGTTAGAGTATAATAAATATACATGGCTATTATTGGCCAGATGGATTGCTTGCCCCAAGTTGCTTACAATCTAAGGAAGGCAAGGCTATAGTTTAGGAGAGGGAACTGGTGATGTGGAGAAGGAGGGGCTTTACCTCCTTTTTAAAAAAAACAACAGTTCTGGTTTAAATAACAAGGAAAAGATATCACAAACTCAGTGAGATCCTTGGGCTCAAGAGCTTCATGAAAGTTCGTGCTGTATAAGTCTTAGAATCATGGGTTGTTAACCAGGGCTGTGCGTACCTCCAGGGGGACTTGGAAAGGTCATAGGGAGTACACGCGGGTGGGTGGGGATGGAGGGAACCCTGGGGGGTGGCAGTGTCTCCCCTGGTATGTTCCCATACATCCCCTCTTACCCTGGGGGAAGGCAGGGGTGCACTGAGCACTGCTGGCCCCGTGCGGCATACCGCGGTGCTTTTCCCACCCCAGCTCACTCATCTGATGGCCGCCAAGAGGCAGCGAGGTGCAACGGGTCTGAATGGCAGGGGGAGTATGTTTCTGTGCCCGCTCCCAGGAGCTGGGTAGAGGGGTGAGGGCAGTGGTGCCTCTCTGCAGACGTATGTGGGGCGGGGGGGGCTTGCATACGGCGGCCAATGCCACCACCCACCACCTTGTGCTGCTCCCTCCAGGAACGGCTGAGGGGGCATGAGGGCAGTGGCACACCTCTGCGGGCCACACAGGCACTGCCCAGCCAGCCGGACGTGGGAGGGGGCTTGCACATGGTGGCTGCTGCTGCCGCCCACTACCCCACACCACCACCCACCACCCCTTGCCACTGCAGGAGCCTGCTTTCCCACGGCTGGTCACACATGAGGCTCTGTGGGCTGCTGGTGGGTGGCATGTGATTGGCCAAGCATGAGGTCGTCAGCAGCCCCCAGAGCCGCATGTGTGAGCGGCCGTGGGTAAGCGGGGTGTGGCAGTGGCGGCAATGGCTGCGTGCGAGCACCCCCACTTCCCCCCAATCTGGCTGCCACCACTAGAAGAGGTAGCTGAAAACCCCTGCCCTATGCGGTAGGACTTTCCCAACAGCAAGTGTTGTCTTTCTGCCTGGTGCAGGGGGCTGGACCCGATGATCTTCCGAGATCCCTTCCAGCCCTAATGTCTATGAATCTATGAACAGCATGTTGGCATGCTCTGCCTGTCTGATTGAGCTGGGTAGGGAACAATGGTCCATGGGGATGCAACAAAGCCCATTTGCTGAGATAGCAGTGGGAACCACCGTCTGCTTCATGCTAGCTGCCTGGGTCCAGGGATGTATGCATGGAATAAAGATGGCAGGAGGGATGATGCCCTTCGCCCTCAGGCATGTGAAGCCGTGTGGGGTCAGACCAAATTCTGTCTGAGATGCTAACAAGTGTAGCATGAATCATCTAATACAGCTGGCCAGATGTAAGCTTGGGTCCAACCCTTGTAGTTTTAGTTAGCATCTTTCCTGCGCAAAATGCTAGTGAGGTGGCCAGTGGTGTGTTAAAGAGGGAAGGACTTAAGGCAAGATGTTAAGAGGTGAAATGAGTCAGAGAGAGAGAGACTTCTCCAGAGACAGATCAGTGCAAATGGATGAGTGACTCTCTCAACCAGCAAGTCTTCAAGGGGGAAGGCCAGGGAAGACAAATGCTGGAAGAGACAAATAAGTGCACCAAAGAGTAGGTGGAGGGATGAGGTCAGGGAGGAAGGATGTGGGGAGCTCTTGGAGAATTTTGCATCAGGAGGCTGGTTTTGAATTGAGCCAGAGATGGCTAGAAAGCCAGCAGCAGTTTCTAGCAGAGGAGAGGGGCGTTGTGGTCTCACTTCCCTGGCAAGGAAGCAGTCTGGCCACAGTCTCCAGGAGCACCTGCAATTTAGAGTAGCAACATAGAAGAGGGAATCGTAATAGTCAAGTTATGAAGTGTTGAAGGCGTGAATGAAGATTTCAGCAAAAATAAAGTTGCTACATGAGCGAATGTTGGCAACGGCAATCTGGAGGTGGGACAGTCAGATTTACTGAGCCAGGCACTGTGGGAAGGAAAGAATCCAAGGCCAAGGATGACTCCCAGATTTCTAGACTTAGCAACAAAGTGTAAGTCTAAAATAGGAGTCAGAGGCAAAGCACAAACTAGACCTTTAAGCAGAAGAACATCATGAGTCATTCAGGAACTGGACTTCTGGGTTGTCACAGGCAAACTGCAAATCTTATGATGGAAGGGGAAAAGAGCTTTCATGAGGGGCCAGATGCGTCTTATATCTCACTTGACACCAGAGCTGACAAAGACTGGCTCATGGCTTGAATATGAGACTGTTCAGTTAGTACCGTGATGCATACCAGTGATATTAGACCCTTTGTTACGAGGACAGACTTGGTGCTAATCATTCTTTTCTGCTTCTATTTTAATCTTTGTTGTGGGATTTAGGCATTAAACTTGAATGCCTTGTGTTTAGAGTAATGGTTTATGACACGTCCACCCTGCCTCTCTTTGTCAGCCATTCCACTGAGTTTACCTTGTTGGAAACAGTAGATATGAGAAGCTAAACAACGTATCCCGGCCTGAATGAGTTCCAGGACACGCAGGCAGTGCTGAGTCCTATCATTTAATAGCTTGGGGTTGCACACTGCTTCGATGAAGCGCAGAAGTGGAACGGTGGTTTTGGTTCTACATCCTACACCCTGTGCCTTGAGGCTGGCTGTACTCGGTAGTGCATAAGCCATGGACTTCAATCTTAAGGTGGGACTAAAGGAACCTAATGTTCCCAGTCCTTGGGGGAGCTCAGAGACCAGTTTCTTCAGCCCAGATCGGTCCCTGCTACAACCAACTTCCTCCTCTTTCTGGTCATTTCTGTTTTTGTGTGACATTTTAAAGGTGCGTCTCTCTTAGGGAAAGCTGTTCATGGCCTTCTGGTGAGAAAACCTAGCCTTTATAATTGGTCAAGGGCATGTTGTATGTTCCTCTATACCCAATCCACTGAGGATGACAGTTCATTATTATCCCCATCTACAGAGCCTAACTCTTAGCTCAAGCTGTAGCAACTCAAGCTGCCCAAGATGCCAGCAGTCACTCTTCTAGCAATTTATTTCCTCTTCAGTCCACAGCTTCCTTCTTGACTCCTTTATGCCCTGAATGATAAGGTTAGATTACGCTGATCTTTGTTCAACTTTGGAATTTCCTTGGTCTGAAATTACACCAATGTGGGCATACGGCAAAATGAGCTTTTTGTGGGGACTTGAGGTAAATGGTTTTAGTGGGGCATCTGGATGGTAGGGGGATTTTATTTGCAATGTTTCTTGCTGACTGACTGCTTTGTGTTGTGGTATAGGAAGAGTAAATTTGCTTCCAGTTTTTGGCATTAATTCTCTGGCTTGCAGTTAGAATGGATGAGAAGGTACCTGGGGCGGGGGACGCATCTCATCTGATAGTTGCAATAAAATCAGCTTTGGTTAAATTGCTTGGAAAGTATTTAATTGTTTATGTTCTTTAAATTGAAAGAAACAAATGTGAGCAGTTACTAGTGGCCTGAAATTATTCGCCCACATTTTAAACTCAGACACAGTAGCTGATTGGAGCACACCCCAGGATTCTCCTGGAGCCATATAAAGAAGGATTTCCTCTTATTTGTTCTAACTTTACCAGCTGTTGCTCTAAAGTGATCTCCTCCCCCATTTTTTCTCACCTGCAGTGAGTGGTCCAAACTGCTGTGTTACTTTGGCCACCCAATGTTTGCATTTCTCTTCTCCAGCCTTCCTGCTTTTCTCTTGGCTCTCTTCTTACATGGGGTTTCCAGAAAGTGCAGGGCAGACATAGAAAGATCCCAGCTACTTCTTACAAGGACACTTCTGTCTGGAGCTGAAAAAGGCAGGGCTCAAACTGAAGAGGAAGTTGGGTTTAGCACCACTATATTTACAAGAGAGTAGGGTTGCATTTAATCTGTATGGAAAGAGCCAACAGAATGGAAGAAAGAGTTTTCCATGTTCATCTTTTTTTATTTATTAGAAGCCAGAAGATTGGATTTTACAGCCATATTAAAACAAAGGTACACACACCGGACTCCTCACGTGTTAAAATGGTGATAAAATAATACTTAGCGCTGACTGTATGTAGCTATTTGCATTTTCAGAGGACTTTACTGCATTAGCTATGCCTCACAACAGTACTGGGAGGCACTCAGTTACACACACTTTCAAAAACTGACTTCAAGATTTATAACCTACCCTGCGATAAGGCACTGGGGATGTGTGCAGCGTGTAATAATACACGGTGACCCCAGAATCATCTCTCTCTACAACAGCTTGCAAGGTCTGCAAAACTGGCCTAATGTGTCTGTTCTCTAGAAAATATTCTCATTTAGGGGAGGGCTGATGTGCGTGTTTTTGTGGCAAAAGTCCAGAGAACACAGCAGCTGTGCTGAGGTCAAACTTGCAGCCAGCAAGTACTTTTGCCATTAGCCTTGCAACCTGACTGGATGGTGCCAAACTTCTCCGGGCTCCACACAATCAGCTAGTCCCAATCTCTCATTTTATTCTGTTCTGAAGATGGATATGTGGCATGGAGATCCCAGAGATGGCTTTAGCCTGGGCATATGCGACTCATGCCTCCAGAAGCTGGGAGGCATGGTGACCGCCCACAGGTGGCGATGCAGGCAGAGATGCAGGCATTGGTGGTGAGGCTGGGCCGAGTGAGGACCGTCCACAGGCAGCCGCGGTGGTGTTGGGGTGGGTGGGGGGTTCCCTCTGCGGCCGGACGCTGAGCCTGGAAATGCCAGCGGCACTTCTCGGGGAGGGGGCACAGCGCTCCGCCTGTTCCTGCTGCCCGTCACCTAAGCTGAGAGCACTCGCTCTCAGGGGGGGCATCAGTGCTCTCAGGGGGTGCACATGCACCCTCTACGTGTCGCCTATGAGCCTGGTAACCAATCTTCGTCCTCTGGGAAAAGAAAAAACTTTTGGTTCATGCCAACTAAATATGTTTTTGCATGTGTAACAAACTCTCCTGGCTTTCAAATTTCAAGCCAGCTCACACCTAGTCAAGGTTACGGTATGACTTGCACTGCATTAAGAAGACTTAATTATCATGTAAGTGTGCTACTTTGGTCTCTGACAGCTCTGAGTCTCTCTGGGTGCATCTACATGTGAAATTAGCACAGCTGAATAAACTCCAGTGCAGGTCATGCCCGAGTTTATTGCTCCTGAGTGAAGCACTTAGACATGCACCTGGGACTGCTTCACATTGAGCCGAGGTGCTACAGCCCCAGCTGGCTGGGGACCCCGGGGGTCAGCCTGCCAGCCGGCAGCTGTTCTGCCCCAGCTCAACATGCTATGGAGGGGATGACTGGGGCATAAGGTAGGGCTAGCTGGCAGGCAGCCCCTGCACTGTAGCACCCTTGTGCCCCAGCCAGCCCCAGTCACCACTTACATGTGTGCTGTGGCGCACTAAATAACTCCATCGTAGGATAGTATTCGTTTCTGGCAGTACTGTCCTATGGCACAGTTGATTAATTTACTCCGGCCTAATATTGCCACATGTGTAGACAGCGATGCTTTACTGTGGAGCTAATTAGTCAACTGCAGTAAAGCACACATGTAGATGCCCCTCTTTGACTTCCAAACATAGGTTGGTGCACATATACTGACATTCAGCCAGTCTTTGGCTTACATCTGGTGGGTCCACACTGTCAAAGCTCTGACCCAGGTCTGAACTTGAACAAATAGTCATGTAGTCAAGGGGCTGGCTTTAATATAGGAACTTTGGTTTAATTCTCAGTTCTTCTGCCAGACTTTTCTGTTCCATTTAAATGCTATGTGTTAGCTCCTCTTTTGTGAAAGGTGCATCCGGCTTCTTCCTTTCTCCCACTTGTCTGTTTTGATTGTATATTTTTTGTGGCCAGGATTGTCTTTTACTATGTGCCCGTATAGTGCCTACCAACTGTAGCCCCAGTTGTGCTTGGCACTTCAAGGTGATATTGTAATACAAATAAGAAATAACTTGGGAGTGTTTTTGGTTTACATCCATCTCTAGACCCCACCTTTCTCCATCCTTCCTCACTACCTCTTTGATTTCTAGTCCCCACCTTAGAAAAAGATACAAGTTTTTTATATTAGCTCCTATAATTCCTTCTGCTGTGGAATTCTGTAGTGAGTGATGACTCAAAGATGACTATGATGCAACCATCAAAACCACTGGTATCCCTGAAATGCAGCCATTGCTGGGGTGGAACGATACAGCTGTTGAAACAGCATGTAGCTGTTGAGAAGACAAGATGAAGGCTGTGCTAGCCAGCTGGATCTGCAGGAGTTGGAGTAATTATCCATATTTGGACTTTAACCAAGATACAGCTTCAGCTAACACCCCCACTTTTATTAAAAGTGCCTTGGGATCTTTAATAACCATCCATGGTCAGGACCTCAGGGTTGTGTCTCATAAGCATCGCTGCGAGGTTACTGTGAGGCTATTGTATGTAATATGAAGGCTGGCCTACAACTCTTTCCAACACCCACACTCTCATGATGGATAACATGCCATATACTGTGAACAGAGTTGGAAGAAAACAACTCTCTTGTGATAGTCTTGATTCCTGCTCAATAGAAATAATACTGCAGTATCAGTTTCTGTGATATGCATGAGTTCCCATCATTTTGTCCACATAAATGACTTCCTCCTCTTGATTCATTCATGCTTCATAGAGTAACCATATTGAAATTCAGGGACAGTGCTGCAACTGGATCCCCTGCTGCGTGCAGCTCTTCCATGGGGTGGAGAGCTACACTTAAGCCGCTTCTTGTGGGTAGACACTGAGGCTTTCACCTCCCAGCGCCAGAGTTCAGAGTTCTGTGTTTCTTTTGCAACAGCTGATGTCATTGCTGACACCTAAACCTGAGTGGGAAGCTGGACGAGGTGTTAGTGACCTCAGCTGCTGTTATAGCAAAACGTGACCCTCTGAACTCAAGGCTTGGCAGGCCTGGTGTGCATGGGAGGATCTCAGCAGTTCTGCTTTAAAGGGACTGTATCTGAGTCACAGCTGACCACGTCTATTCTGTTCATCAAAAGGAAACGTAAATCCCTTTGTCTTTAAAGAGATACCTACACTTCACCTTTGGATGTGGGGTTGTTAAAATGTTACCAAAGATTCCCCTTCCACTCCTGTCCAGTCCAGCTGGATCAAAACCATGTGTTTGTTTAGAAGGCCTGTCACCCAAGGACACTGGGGTAATGTGACTTCTCACAAGGCCCCACGCTCTGCCCTCAGGAGGGGTGATTTATTTTAGCCCAGAAGGGACTCCTAACATGATTTAACAGTCTGCCAATTTGTAACCAAAGCCAGTCTTATAGGAGGAGTATGCAGAGCACAGGAAATAAAGCATCATGGTGGCTTCTCCTCATGTCTTTCCAGTATTTCACGGGATGTGATACATGTGGCCAAGATGCTGGTGCAGAGTAAAATTTGTCCCGGTGAAACTTGTCACATCTATACCCCTACAAGAAAGCAACTGGCACAAAATTTCACTGACTCCTTTCTTCAGCAGAGTTATCCAGCCTAACCTGTGCATGGATCTAAACCAGGGAGCTGCATAGCTCAAATCTAGCATGGGCTAGATAAGAGACTAAAATGTACGTCCAAATCATCTAAATGCCTGGAGGGTCAGATCCATAAAGTGGTAAGTTGATGAAGCTCCAATCAGCAGCTGAGTGGGGAATGTCAGTGCAAGCAGGACAGGCAGGGACTCCAACACTTCCAGTCAGACTGGAAATGCCAACAAAGAAGCACGCTCTTGGCCTTTCTGTTCCAGACCTGTACGATACCCACTGCTGCAGAAGCACCAAGCACATGAAAAATAACTTTTAATAAATGTCACTGAAACTATTTCAAACCTCCAAAAATCTTCAATTGGAAGATTTTGTGAAAGTTTCCCGTTGATTCACATAAAGTATGAATATTATTAAGCAGCTAAAATCCTGTCCTCGGTTAAATGCTTTGTAACTGGCATCCTGCAATACAAGCAGCCCAAACAAGCAGTAGTGTCCCGCTGCACATAGGGATTCACAAGTTTGGCCAAACTCAGGCACATATGTGCTTGCAGATAAAAACTGACTTAGAAGTAGCATTAAGAAGTCATACAGCACACACAAATTAATAATGGCTACACTTTCAGCACCCCTACCAGCCTGGCTGCAGACATCATGGGATAGGATGGTTACAGCTTGTGTTACTATATCAGTTAAAACTAACAGTCTCTTGGAAAGACGGAAGTGTGAGCAGTTCATTTGCACCAGATTCCATATGGTTGCAAATGGCATGAACTGAAACCAGTCCATCAGACAGCCAGCCCTGATCCCCAGCCAAGAGAGGAATTAGACTGGACTTGTGTCAACCTACAGCTGACAATTATTACTACTTATTGCTTCCTAACTGAAGTTATAACTTGGAGCTTAATCTAGACGGTAAACTCTTCTGCTCAGGGAAGAGTCTGTAGAACAGCAAATTTTAACACTTTAGGGTATGTACAGAAGTGCTCTGTGTACATTTTACAGTGCTATAATTTAGAGCACTTTTTATGGCACTATAAAGTTATAGCACTCTTAAACATGACAGAAGTGCAGTGTTTGGGGGGGAGGGGGACACTGAGCCTCCCTACACTTTCCAGGCTAGGAGACAGGGGGTGCTTTGTAGTCTCCTGGGGCCGCAGGAGACTGCGGACAGCAGCAGACGGGTGGAGAAGGTGGAGCTGGACACAGAGCTGGGGCACAGAGAGGGAAAGGGGGGTCAGTAGTGGGGAAGAGGTGCCATTCCAGCCCCAGATCCCCCAGGTAGTGCTCAGGTGCCGGACGCTGTGCAAGGCTCCCAGCCGTGGCTG